TGAGAGATCAAATTATACCTTAAGTGGAAAAGTTTAGATATTTGGGAGCCATTATTCAAAATGATGGCGAAATCAGTGGAGATATTTCACATAGAATTCAAGCTGGGTGGTTTAATTGGAGAAAAGCTAAAGGAGTTATTTGTGACCATAAGGTGCCTAATAAACTTAAAGGAAAGTTTTATCGCACTGCTATCAAACCGACAATGTTATATAGTAGTGAATGCTGGGCTCTAACGGGACAACAAGAGCATAAAGTTGGAGTAGCAGAGATGAGAATGTTACGATGGATGTGCGGACATACACGTAAAGATAAAATTCGAAATGAGCACATACGCGAAAAAGTGAGGGTGGCACCTATTGAGGAAAAAATGGTAGAAAATCGGTTAAGATGGTTTGGACATGTACAAAGAAGACCAAGGGAGGCACCAGTGAGAAGAGTAGAACATATAACTTTGAGTCTGATTAAGAGAGGTAGAGGAAGGCCTAAGAGAATACTCTTGGAAGTTGTTGAACGCGATCTCTTAATTAATAATATTCCTAAAAGCTTGATAAATGATAGAGCACAATGGCGTCTTGCAATCCATGTAGCCGACCCCACCTAGTGGGATAAAGGCTTGTTGTTGTTTGTTGTTGTTGCTATTGCTCTGATATTATGAAATTGTTGTTTGATAATTATGTCTTTGAGAATGATAAATCCCGACTTAAGTAGGGACTTTACAATTAGGGTCTCGTATACTCTAATACGGTACCTATATGGGTACTAAGGAGCTCATAATCGTGTCATTACTACCCAAATGTCCCATAGTGACAGCCCATCATATCGTCCTCCATTGGATGTCTTATAGGGTTAGCCCAATCGTATGGATTTCCCATACTAATCCACTTAAAGTGAACTCTCACCCTTATTATCGTGTCTTTTACACATACATTGCACTATCATGCTTTACCATATTCACATTTTATTATCAAATAGCTCTTAAAACAAAATACAATTAGTAAATGCATGGGAAAATCCAAAAGACCTATTATATCACTTTATCAATTCTAAATCATAAAATTTTCTAAATACACAACATGTAATATTATATTTACTTTTAAAAAAAAAACAACTTGAAAACAATTAAACAAGTCAATAAATAGCGTGAATTATCCAACTAGCCAACCCTTTCATTACCAACAATGGTTACCTATGGAATGTTTTGCTCTTTTCACTTTAACCACTTGATAAACACTTGAGCCATGACAATCTACAAAGATTGAATACTTATATCAATTCCAAAACTTACACACTTATTTATTAGCATAATTATGCTAATATAAACTTCTAATCCCTATCATAGGCAATTTTAAGTCATAATCAACTTTCATAGACTTCCTACAACTTCAACTAACTTTATTGCTATCAACATAGATTTCTCACGCTTTAAAACCTCCCAATTGATGCTAAAATTGAGCCAAATCCTTAAAACTTAACCATCAACCACCAAACTAATCACAAATCCTTAATTTAACTTCCAACAAACCTTTTATGGCTATCAAGCTAGAAAACAACCCCTCAAAAACTCACAATTCAGCTTTCCAATATCTCAACCCAAGAGAAAATAGGTTAGAATAAGAGAGTAGGAAGGTACTAAGCTTATCTGGTAGACAACAAGTCGGAAACAACTCCTAAGTGCTCAATATCCCTTGCCTTAGCACAAAGCTCTTCTCCTTCCCCTCTCTATCGTGATTTTCCCTTCTCTCCTCTCTGAAATCATAGGCTAATCCCTTATAAGAAGTCAAATTTTTAACCCATGTGCTGTGGGGTGTTGCACAGTAGGCAAAATTTAATTTTAACTCTCCCACTCAATCCTGATTAGCTCTTCTTTCTTCCAAACCTAACTACACAACCATCCAAAGAACATAAACATTAATTTACAATTCAAAATCATGATTAACATAATTAATCCACTAATTTACTAATTTATTCTTAATTAGTGATTAGTTTTTAGGAGTAAGAATTTAGGATGTTATACATTGAGTTCAATGAGGGTATACCATATGGCAGAATACAACTTTGGACAAAATCTCTAGCAACACATATTTTTCAAACAAGTCTTGACATGTCATACTTATTTCCAATCAATTTGGAGAAAAACACATTCAAACAATTTTCATGCTTTCGAAAAATTTTGATTCCAAACATAATATATACATATATGATTCATCCCACTAGGAAATTATTTTTCCATACAATAAAAACATGCTCTCTCAAACATGACTTTCTCCCAAACAACATAAAACATACATAGCCAATCACAATGCACACATAATCACACATTAATATGGTTACTTTCGTTCCTTATTATTAGAGCTCCCCGAACAAGTGAACTTTCACCTCCAACAATGTTTCTACCACAATCTACACACAATGTAACACTAATTATAGTTAATAAAGTACAAATTAACACTAACCACGGTGTACACACACCTAACACAACCTAACTTAGGGTTAGGTTCATTAAACTAATTAAACCATCATTGTCCCAACAATTTAAACTTTTAAATTAAACACCCTTAAAATCATCATCATTATCTCTCTTAACACTTATTTAACATTTACATACCTAAATCATCACTATAATCACCTAATAAACCCTCCTATAACCATAAACAACATTAAAACAACTTAAACTACACTTATTTAACCTCATAACACCCATAAAATTCAAACCCATGGGCTAGTTAGCATAAAAAATGAAACCTTAACAACACCCATGAAGATATCTACCTTAAAAATGAAAAGAGGAGGTTAGGATGATTACCTCATGGTTTTTAAAGCTCAAATCTATGCACAATAATGTCTCTTGACCAAACCTTAGTAAATCAATAAACTTTCACACTTAACCTCACCCAACACTCCTCCTTCTATCTGATTTTCGAGTTGAAACAATAAGAGTTGAAAATGCACCGTATACCGCAACATACATGCAAATGTCATGGCATATGGCATAGTGCAAGAAAATCTCACTTAAGGCCAATAACTGGGGCCCGAACCATCCAATACCTACTTTGAATCCCAAATAACCATAGTACATGATCTTAAGCCCAATTTAAACCATAATTAAGAGCCCAAATAGTTAATTAACATCCATAAACCTAAATCCTCAATTAAATCCTTAAAAATACATGTTTTTTCAATTTAATCTTTAAATACACACATTTTTTTAATTAAATACTTAAGTACCCATATTTTTTCATTTAAAATGATTCCTCAAATTAAATTCTCCCAATTATCCACAACTTCTATAGTTAAACTCATGAATAAAATTTAGGATGTTACACAAAATAGAATCACTACTATAAAATCCCTCACAAAGATTATATATATCAATGAAGTGCAACAAATGAGTACCCAGAGAGTAAATAAGAAAAATGAATGCGAGAGCTTTATTCATGTAAGTCTCTTCTTCTCTACTTCGTGTTTATAAATGAGCCTATATATAATAGTTGGTGAAAAAGTATGCATTAGACTCATAAATATGTCTATTGTGACTTAATTTTTGTTAATTGCTTTCTCCAACATTAAATAAATGCCAACGATCAAGTGATAGAGAAAAGAGAGTTTTCCTTCTAATAGCGAAATAAGCATTTAATGCATTGACACTATTACAGTTGAGACACTTTTGAAAGTAATCGGAGATTTTCGAGATTCAAGGATAAGAAAGACAGCTGAAACAATTTCAAAACAAAGAACATGTTTGAAACTTAGAGAGTTTTCCTGATTTTGGAAAAATAAGAATAAATGGTTTAAGCTTGAGAATCGCGAGTTTGCAAATAAGGAATTGAACCCATGGAACAAAATAATCTTTCCTATTAAAGCGAGTTCAAGAAAAATAATGAGAACTTTGAGAAATAATGCTCGTAATATTTTCACATGATCAATTTAGTCAAAAAGGAAGCATTTTCAAAAGTTATGCACAACTTCAAAATTTACAGGAATATTTGAACGAAAAGAACGAGGGGAAATTTTGAAATAGGGCTTAGTTTGGAAAGTGTTTGCAGAAAGAATTATTTCGAAATTCTTCATACACTTTCGAAATCCACAAGGCAAAAAGAAATTTCATTATGAACAGGGAGTTTCAAAGATGAAGAACATCGATAATTAGGGAGAGTGAAAGCACAATGTTTCAAAACACAAAGGATTATCGAAAGTCAAAAGTTATGAGTTCAGAGTATAACTTCCACAATTGGGAAAACACTTTCGAAATTGTTATTCAAGACAATTTCAAAATTTCATATCAATAATTTTGACACGTTTTCAAAAGATCTGAAAATTGATTCAAAACAAGTTGAAATAAATTCATTGAGCTCAAGTTTTGAAATCAAATACTCAAACTCCAAGGATTGAAAGAATCAAGCATTGAAAAATAACACTTGAAGAAAAGATTGGAATTAAAATAAGTATTATGAAAACAAGAGTTTGAAACACAGCTGTGATACTTTCAAAATTTATAAAAGAATTCTGAAAAAATTTTGCAAATGCCAAATTAACTAAGTTAAACTATCAAACAAACTACCTTCAATCTCTTGGGATAAATTAATCCTGTTAAATACAAAATCTTCTCTGAATTTATCATAATCAAAACCAGGAAACATATTTCTACAGCACACACACACATACACACAGAATACATACTAACTACAACTTAATTTCGTCTGCACAATTCACCCCATGAAATTTGGAATTTCTTGTTTAGCCTTGGCAAATTGTTATTACATATAGAGACACAGAGGTTGAGACATTCTTTAATGGCTATGCATACGTCGTCCACCTTATATAGCCGCCAAAGCTACGGTATGTACATACATAAATAAATACATACAGAGCTTTTAAGAATCAAAGAGTAATACTTCATCAGCCATGTCAGGACAAACCTTCACATCTTCCCATAGCAACACATTCTCATAGTTTCATACAAAGACCTAAATTAAACAATGTGTTCTGGTTGTGTATTCACCTGCGGTCCTGGTGCTATGGCGAATTGCAGGCCCCTCCGCTGCCCAGATTGGAGAACAAAAGCAACTTGGGTCGCTGCCAATGCTGCTGCCTCCTGTTCCACCACAAGAAACATTCAGAAACTCAACATATAAATGAGCATCCTTGACTAGCCTTTGCAGTTTTTGTAAATAAGATTCTCTTTATTCATATATTCATGTATTCAAGAAGAAATTGTGATACAATATGATGTGGCTACATGAGATCCACATCCCACTTTTCCCCTTTCCAAAATAGTAAAATGAGTATCCTAGATTAGACTTGGTCTTAGTGTAAGTTTATGAAGGAGACTTGGTAGTAAAAAATATAAGTCTCACATTGAATAGTATGGAATGCTCAATAGGATATTTAACTGAGTTGGTTCTCTCACCTCAACAGACCTACTAACTGGTATTAGAGCAAGGCTGTCAATGATTCCAAGGAGCGATATCCAAGGAGGGTTCTAACTGACAAGAGGTTGAGTTAAGTCTCATGGAGTGCAAGGTGCAGCTGCTAGGACATCGGCTTTCCACGGGGCAAATGATGGAAACTTGGTAGTATGGATACCAACTCCCACATTGAGTATTATGGAATGCTTAATGGGGTATTTAAGTGAGTTGGCTCTCCCACCTCAACAATCCCCACAAATAACAATAGGCAAAGAAAAATTGGTAAATTACTGATCACAGTGGAAGAAAAAATACTCGTAGTAAATTAGTCAAATACTGTCATTCACGGTAAGTTAACTAGTGAGTAGAAGAAATGAAAAATTCTTAGGTAAACTTGGTTTATAGAAGATATACATGTAGAGTTCAACTATAACAAGGTTATTTACATCTCCATGATTAGATTAGTCTCCTAAACTCTCATAAGCCATCTAACAGCCTGACAGAAGAAATTAGTTGAGCTAAGAATGGAACTCACTTGTCTTTGCCTCCGACGTTGCAAGCTGCTGATTGCCCAAGCCATAATATAGCAAGGTAAGAGAAATCCAGCTGCACGAAGTAAGATGATCTGCACGAATTGGCAAATTAATCAGATTGGTTCAACAACACAGATCTCAATCACTACTGTAACAGCCACGTGAACTAGTGAATCAAGTCACTTACAGAGAAGACAGTTGATGGATCATCATCTGCATCAGCATCTGGAACAGAAACTGCATGCCGCAAGAGTAGAAGGGCCATTAACTGCACCAAATACATTATATTAGGCTAAACATGTAGTCTAAGAAATAACATAACCAGAGGCAATGCGCGTGGATCAAGAAAACCAAAAAGTGGTAGCGGGGCATATTGCATTTGAATGCTAAAAAAACATACTCAGTGGCTTAGAGAACATATCAAGAACTACTGATGTCTCAATCTCCAAATAAACAATCACTAATTCTCCTAAAAGTCAATATATTTTCCGTTATATCCCATTGTAGATGTCTCGGCCTTCACAAAACAAATCCCTACTGTACAATATATGATTAATAATAGATCTTAGTGAAGGATTCAAGGTGAGGCCTTACAATTAAAGCAGCTGAACCGCAAAAGGCAGCTCCACTGGCATTAGAAACAGCATACTCATCATATTCAGTTTCCAAGAACTGGCGTTCAGCCTCTGCAATAGCCAAGATCCGAGGATCATGCAGGTCCAAAGGTGTGCCAGAGATCGTCCAGCCTCCACTGCAAGAATGTTCAGAGCTCACAAGTTAAGACAAAATTTACAAACTAGTATCTTCAACACATGGAAATCTTACTAATGAGATGCTTGACCACAAAGCTATAATCAATTACAACTTTTACAATAAATCTGTCTTACCCAATATCAATGGCAGTTTCCTCAGGATTAGGGCAAGGAGTAGGGGCAACATAACCAGGTTGATAAGGCTGAGATTCACAAGTTAAAATGAATAACCATCAAAAGATGAGAAAAATTTGAATATAGTAACAGAGGGCTAGGGTAAATAAAGATACAAGCACAAATGGATAAAAATGTGCATTTTGTTCCATTAGAAAGGCCCTACTCAACTAGATACGCAATCCAAAACCTAAAGAGGTCATAATTAAAGCCAATAAAAAAAAATATCTACGCTACTACAATCTAGGAAAAAGTCCAGACAGCAGCATATTCAACATGCTTGAAATTTTCTATTTAACTATTCCCCTACTTTTCTCCCCTTCAAAGGCACAGGATGGTGAATCTGTTGTTCAATAAAGTTATGCAGATAAACATTTCCATAACCACCTTGTTGTCACACTGGCCAAATATACATAAAGCTTATTGTCACATCACTAAATGAACGTAGAGGTTTAAAATTAAAAATTATCAGCATAAGAAAACATACCTTATTGCATATCTCACAAATTGTATCTCCTTTCTCATTACACCAATGCTGGACACACTTTCGATGGGCATACTGAAATAATCAGCAATCACTCAATTAGCAAATACCAAATCACAAGAAAATATAAAGAAGAAAGACAGCACAATCAGTTCATTAATTAAAGATCAAACAATGAGGAACACAAGAGATTCAAAATCAAAAATGAAAAACAAAACCAACATCACTTGCTAGTTACTACTTCATATCTTCTTTGTGCAGAAAATGACATTGTTCCAGCATTATTTTGCCTTCTCTGCTTCAATCTGAAGCTATATATTAACAAAAAATAATTTTCCACCACAATACAGTGAAGCAATCTGGTGAGTTCAGAAAAGAAAACGTCCTTCACAATCAAAACAATATAGCCAGAAAGTTGTTTGAACAGCACAGAGAGTGACTGAATATTGACAATTAGAAAAATTCCCAATATTAATAAAGTAGCAAGAATGATACTGTGGAATCCAGGCAACAGTACATTTCAAAAACATACATTCATCATGTTGCTATCTGGAAGCATCAAGAAGAAATTCACGCAAATCTTTTGAGTTAAGACCAAGGCTAAACAAAAGCATATATGAAGTTGTAATCTATATGGCATCTTAGAACACCAGTGTCACAAGAACTCCGATAAAAAGGTCCACAAATTTCCAGTCAAACATTCAGTGATTTATATGTATGCATGTATGTATGTATCATGGTCTAGGGTATATCCACTTTGCAGAAATTAACCGCGGCAAATTTGAAGTCAAAAACAGGAGACATGTGATCAGGCTGCTATGGGATGGACAGATTCATGACATTCTGAATGGGCATCATCTGACATAACCTTTTGTTTAATAAGAAAAAGAAAGGTTACATTTTTCAGACTCTATTCTCCAAGAAGCAAAAGGTTTGAGCCTCTTTCGCCATTTCCGGCATTTAGTTCATGTATTTGCAACATTTAGCTAATCTATTAATACAAATCCATCATTTTTAACAAATTTGAAGCCCAAGTCAAACACCATTCCAATAGACCACAAACACACAGATACACAAAAGATGAATATGCGTTTTCTAGTTGTTAGCACACAATTCTGAATCACATAGACCTTTTAGAAAGCAAAACAGGCAATCAACTGGAATTCATAATATATACCTTCAGACTGCCGCTACAGGCGCAAGGTATTTCTAAATTGCTAATGCTATCTTCCTCCTGACAAATGCGACACTCCGCGTTCGGTATCAGTGGCTCATCCTCACCACCATCCTCATCATGCTTCGGCCCAGCATCATCGCTATCCGCCAGCGGCGCAGAACTAGAGGGTCCCGCAACGTCCGAGGACTTAGTCGCCGGAGACGGATCAGACAGCAACTGAGTCGGAAGAGTCACCGTCTCAACGTTCACAGGACGTACCAGACGATCGACATACAGCACCAGTTGACAGCTCATCGATCCCAAACCTACAGCCCCAAAATAAGAATCGACCGACAAAGAAATTGAAAAAGGGGAAATAAAAATGGAGAACGAAGCCCCAGAAACCCCAAGATCGGAGTGATCAAGGGGCGTGAATTGAAGAGGCCTTTCCCGGAAAATGAGTGAAAATTCTACCGTAAAAATGCAAGAGAAGCTTCAGCGAAGAAAGTGGAGTGGAGGAAGAGAAGTGCAAAGACTGTAGTGCAGTGGGTATCGGGTTCCGCGTTTTCTCAACAAGTGCCAACATCTTTCCCGTTAGTTTGATTCATTATGCATTTATGTTTGAAAATGAAACAATAAAACTATAATATTTTAAATTTATTTTGATTATTAATTTAATTTTTTATATTTTTTTAAATTATTATTTTCATCATGTAAGTGTTAAAATATAAATTAACTTTTAAAATGATTTAAATTTTAAAATATATTGATAATTTAACACACACGTATAGTTATATGAGAAGAAATTAACCTTTAAATTGATTTAATTTTTATCAATACATTTTTTTATACTGTGTTTTTTTAAATTTTTAAATTTTCTTTTTCATATCTAAATGATTAAATTTATTTTCACTAATTTGTATAATTGCCATCAATATTTTGATATCTATGCGAGTAAATTTTGACCATGTAACCTCTTATTTAAACATTAAAAACTAAATTGATAATAAAAATCAATATAAAGGAGTCAATTGATAGAAATTAAGTTTAAGAAATTAAATTAATATTTAAAATAAATTTGAAGAATTAAAAGTTTCATTATTCCTTTAAAATATTTTAAATAATCTAAAACTTTAGTAAAATGTGATTTATTTTATGCAAATTTTAAAAAAATTAATGTTTGATTATGATCATAAGAAAATTACTTTTTTCTTTTTTTGAGAAAAAAATATTACAAAAATGCTTGTTTTTGTTAAACTAATATAGTAATCGTGATGATTATTTTTTGGTTAAAATATATATATAAACCTCCTCAATGTTGAGCCAATTGCATAATATCCCCTTAACATTTCAAAGCTAATAATAAACTCCCTTAAACTTTAACTTTTCAACCAAAAACTCATTAGCATTAATATCTCTATTATCTCATTAATTGAATTGGCCATGTCAAATTAATTATGGACACATGGCAAAATAACCCCAACCCAATATTCATACTTAACCATATCCTACTATGATATTAAAGAATTTACCTACCATGGTAAAAAGAAGGAACAACCTAACGATCATAGTAGAAAAAAGATTGTCCTTACTTCTATCATGATTCTTAAATCAAGCTTAGTTTACTAACAAAAGCCTCTACTACAATAGAAAATATTTTCACATAACATTCAAAGTTACCATAGCTAAAAAGACTAATCCTACAATAAATTTACAATTGATTAACTGTCCATGTTTACTATGGTAGGAAAAAAGTAAACTCCCTTATGCAGCTTGCCAAATAAAACTACAAAATTATAATTTAAATAAACGATAAAGGAAATGATAAATAAAAACAAAAATTAATGAAAATATACGCTTATGCCTATGGTCAGATCCCTCAACCTGGGCCCAAAGACTAAAAATAATATAGTTTAATACAAATAGAAATATCAAATAAATAAATAAAATGTCTAAGCAAGTAGCTCTAGTGTTAAATCCTGATTTTGATGATTATAAAATAGGAAAAATCTTGTTTTATAGACATTGGGTTTATTGCCAATTTAAGTTGAGTTGGACTATATGCTTAATACTTTGACATCCCTTCATATTCTATTGTCTCTTCATTTCTATGAGCTTATTCTTGAGATAATCATTTGTATTATCCAATGCTCCTTTGATTGGTTTTAGCTTGTAGCTCAATTCGTGACAATATCAATGTTCTATATCTACTTCATATTGGTATCTTTGTTCTATACCAATATCCCATGTTCTTAGTAGTATGTTATCTTCTTCCCCCTATGTCTGTGTTCATCCAATTCTCTTTTGTATATCACTTTCTTACCAATATCTATCTTCTCATACTCAGATCTCTTTTTCTACCCATATCTTGTCTCATACCCATATAAATTCTCTTTGTTTATTCATCTTCATATAGATATGTTTCTTTCATATTGGTATAACCCCTTCATATCATTCTTATTCTCTTCTACTTGTATATATTTATATATTGCAAATATGAATGAGTTCTTGGGGTATATCTTTGTATAACATGACAGATCAAGCATATCACACAATTAAGTATTCATACTCAAAATGACCACCAAACCTCTAATTCATCACAACACAAATGGGTGTATAAAACTTATCACACCTATCAATTTGGTCATTTTGACACCTAAATCACTTCAAATATATCACTTATAATTTTATATTGGCCAAGCATACTTATTCGATTACAATAGTATCAACCTTAGGCCAAGATATGCACACGTATCTCAAATTCGTACAAGTGATAACAAAATAATGTTATGTTCCTAAATTGGCATTATATATTCGTTACAAACCCAAAAAGTGGAAAGGGAAAAGCTATACAATAATGTTCTTCACTCTTCAGTCGCCCCTTCCTTCCCCTTGCCCTTATTGGAATCCTCACCTGTAAAATATAACCACAAGGTGAGATAAATATCTTAATAATAGAATAATTCACTATTATTAACTAACATGCACAGCCATAAGGGAGTAAAGTTATTAAGTATCAAAATATATTTTAGCATATTACAATATACTCTTTTCCCATGAACACAAGTCATTTATCACTAGCATGATCATTTTACCATCCGAGCCTCCATATCACCCTGACTGAAACCATAGACTCTTGAACCAAGTGCACATTCGCAATGGTTCGAGCTCACCTTCGATGGTAGAATCACCCGGCCAAAGATGTCCTATCTCACTTTCTAACTATAGTCTCCCTTATCGCACATAAATTGAGGTGTCATTATTCCAACATCGCATCATTGATGCTAAGGAGCATCACTCTCCAATGTCATATCTCGCATGGATACTAAGAAAAAAATCTTCAACACTGTGCCTCACTAGACACTAAGAAGATACATGTTATATGAACTTCCACTACTCCTTTCTATGGGTGAACTCCTACCCTTTAATATGATCATGCTCATTTTATCACACATTTCACACACTTATGAAAAAATCACTACTTTTCACATAAGAATTCAAAATTCTTTATTATTTCAAGAGTAGCTTCTAATGCACAAGGAAATCATCTTTTGCAACATACCAAGCTTTCAAAACACATGTAAACCAATATATTTATCTACTCACAAATAGTTAAGCAATATAATCAATTAGTGTAAATTATTTCATTACCTCAACTTTTGTCACACAAAAGGGTTATTGTGGCTCAACGTTAGCTCCACATGTTTTATACGCGCAATAAATCTTGAGCAATACTTAATCTACACAATCAAGCGATAATTATCTAACCACACCAACCATTTTCAAACACTCTAACCATCCTATTAAACATTCTAACATACCAAAATCCTCATCTAATTCCCTATATTCAAAACCTCCAGATTATGGATTCAACAAAAAATTTAAATCACCATAAAACTCATAAACCTAGGGTTAAAGGCTTAATTTAACTCTCCAAGATCTTAAATAAGCTAATGTATTTAGTTTAAACCCAAGAAAATAAAAAACAAGCCCCACAATACCTCTTAAATCAGAAATTTCGCATAAAAGAGGGACAAGAGGGAATGTGAAACTTACCCAATGATTATTCAAGCTCCAAATGCCTCCAAATCTCTCCCAATGTTGAGCCCTAGCAGACCATGAGCTTTCTCCATAACTCCTCGTGATATCTCTCTTTTTTTCTTTGATTCTAGTTTGTTTTTCACAAACTGATAAGTGCTGATTTTACACATAAGTTGTGGCGCATTGACACGTCCATCGTAGCGCATGGCACAAAGAGTCCCACCAAAATTTAAACCTTCCTCCGTGCCATGGTTCACTTGAACTTTGACCTAGCTCTCTTCTAAGGCTGTCTAAGAATCCAAAAACTATATTAGTCTCCTATAAACATCATCAATCACTAATTTATCTAAATTGACTAAAATTTCCTTGTAAATATTGCTAATTCACAACTTGAAAACTTAGGATGTTGCAATAGGCTCTATTGGATCAATCACTCATTGACCCGAGTGCACTTTTAGTGGTAAAAATACCCGACCAAAAGTATTCTATCTCACTTACGAACTATAGTTTCCCTCATGTCACACACTTGTGATAGAGTTGTCGTTGACTTCTAACCGCACTCTAACGGGCACTAGAGAGTTGCTAGACTACTCGAATGTCCCATGGTAATAGTCCCTGTTGTACCAGATTACCTATGGTAACAGCTTGTATAATGCTGCACTAGATGTCCCATAGTGCCAGCTTGACCATATGAATTTTTCACTCACATCTCCACACAAACACATCCCTATATATCCTGGATAAACTCCCACCCCCTATGATCATGTTCTTCTACATTTCACAGCATATAAATCAATATTTTCATAATTTCCACTATATATTCATATATAAATAAATTCATTACAAAATTTAAAATCAATAAAAGTTCTGTAAACATTCCAAAATCATATTGCATGTCAAAATCATTTATGATGCAAAATCATGTACTAAAGGAAAAATCATCAAAATCATAACTTAAAACATATATATTCAATATTCATTTCTACATAGTTATAATAACTAATAAATATAACAAACTATATGGTTGCCTCAACCTTTCTGTTCAATAGAAAGGATTACTTGTGTTCAACAATCCTACTCAAGTTCCTTTCGCTATTTAACTCATCGCATGCAAGAATCTATACTATTTAGACAGCTAGAGTTAATGACTCTATTGACAAAAAGTGCTAATTACCATAATTAAGCATCTAATCACTTTCATTTCCTTTACTTGCATTCGCTCACACACATTATAGCTAATTTTCGCTCACAACATGTATTAACTTCCTCACAATCAAATTTTCTCTCACTACTATCTCTAGATTAGGTCAAACTATGCTTACAGCTTTGAAACTATATTGTTCTGATTCAAACCAGTCTCAAAGCACTAGTTTAGTTCCAGAAAACCTTTCTATTACTATAGGATAAGAAATCATCTCTTTAAAACTTCTGAATTTAATTTCTCAATAGTTAAAACTAAGATAAAACAAGGTAGAATTGAAGGTTAAGATAATACAAGACTTACCTGATAAGTAACAGGTTGGAAACGTCGATCTTACTCCTAATT